ATATCTCATATCCTCTTTAAAGAAGTCAGGAATCTAACTCAGAAAGGAGAAATAACTGTAACAAAATTACCCACACTAATGTCAGAAATGGATTTGAGCATTTTTTCTTAACTGCAAAAATGTTCTCACACTATACTATTCCTTTGATTTTTATCTGAATATTCATGGACTATTTTTTAATAGTCCTTTTAGTGTTGATCTTATTTTCATATGTTTTTATTTGATGGATGTTTTATTACCCACCAAAGATATTAATGGTCAATATTAGTCAACTGGAGTAGACTATTAACCAGAACCCCTCATTCTCAGTCCCGGTCAGACAACACAGAATGACATATGACTGTATTTTATTCAGTAGGTTATGAAATATCAAGTAACTGCTTTACCCATTAGATAAAATTTTCTCTTTCAGAGAACGAGGAATTGTACTCAGAAAACTTCATGATGGGCAATGTGTAAGTATATTCAGAAATTTTATTTATTCTTAAATATAAAATGTTACACTAATTCCTCATTTTCCTATGGGAAAAACTATTTTAAGATATGTCATTTAAAAATTATCTATACCATGTATGGTCATAGGTAAGACATTTGGCCAGCCTAAACAGATGACCTGAAGTAGAGTTAATTTATTTGCCCAGAGAAGGACTTTAGAAACTTTACTCATAGCCCTTAATTGGGGCAGGTTGGTATACATGCGCTTCTTTTCTTTTATTTTTTTAAAATATTCTTATTGATTTCAGAGAGGGAGAGAGAGATAAAAACACCCATGATGAGATTGAACCTGCAACCTAGGCATGTGTCCTGCCTGGGAATCAAACTGTGACCTCCAGGTTCATAGGTCAACACTCAACCACTGAGCCACACTGGCTGAGCCACGTGCTTGTTTTCTAACACTGCAACTAATTAGCAGGTTACAAAAAGGAGTTCAAGGGAATTAGGGACTCAAGGTTATTCTCATAACAATAAAGAAAGCTATTTTTTAAAAGCACAAAAAATTCAAAAGAAATATAGAGATAATTTAGGGGTAAAGAGCTATGTGAGTGGGATGTCAATAATTAGGATAAGATAGGAGAACTGTTAACATGTAAAAGACAGTTTAATTTAAGGAGAGTTACCTAACCCAATTCCATGGGTGGGAGAGAGAAACTTATAAAAGTCCGTGACCTGACTTTAAAGGAGGAACAGAAGCTGGGTTGATGGATAAAGTGGGTAACGTCATGTAAGAGGAGAAACACCATAAGCAAAGTCACAGGGACTTTCAGGAGCAGGAGACTCTCGGGGAATTCAGTCCTTAAATGGCCTAGCATAAGTGGCAGAGCAGATAAGAATGGGTCATGAGGGGACTTTCTGTTGATGGGGAAGTCAGTTAAGTTTTTGAAGAACAAGATCTAAGTTGATTTGTAAAAAAAAAAAAAGAAAAATCCCTCTGCATCAATGTGGAGGACGACTGAAATCCCCAATAAAGCATGGAGGCTGGGCAGTACATTGGCAGATAACTGCAGATGGGGAGGCAGGACCTACTGAGGGCTGGGTTAAAGGGAACGACAGTCTGGTAAGGAGAGGACTAATTTGGAAATTACGTACAAGATAGAATCCATAGGATGTATCTGTCACTCTAATGTAGAGGAGTGAGAGGGAAGCCTTAAACCTGAACTGAGCTCTCCCTTGCTGTGATGATTGTCCCACCATTGTTAGGTCAGATTATATAAACTTCGGAAAATGTTGTTTTGCACATGGAATTCTGAACTAAATAATCCTTCAGGGTCTTTTAAAAGTTTATTTTCTATGATTTAATGATCTGAAACTGTTCTTTCTTTTCTTTCTTTTTTTGGGGGACATGGGCAGGTTAAATGCTCCAGATACTCTCAGGCATGCACCCTGGAATATATGCCTCACTGTGGATCTGATGGAGTAGAGTATGGCAACCAATGTTTGTTTTGCAACGGTGTTGCGTAAGTGCTGAATTCAAAATATTATTGGCAGAAATAGCCTTTCTCAGAGAGCCAGAGACAATCTTGGCTTCCAAATAAGATGCTGCTATGAAGCATAAGAGTGAGATGGTTCACTGATGATCATAATCTTTTATAAAAAGAAGAAGGAAAGAGAGAGGAAGAGAGAAAGTGGATAGTAGGAAGAAATGGAAGCTAGAAAATGAGAGACTTCTTACAGTATTTTTAAATGACAGACAAAAAAAAATTCACAGAATTTTTGGGGGGAGGGGGCTCTTGACACTGGTTTTTACTAGCGCATTGAAGTTTTTTTTAGTTCACCTTGCTTAAGCTTAGTGGCTAACTGTTCATCTTTCATGCTGTGTACTCATTTGACTGGATTGAGCTAAAAATATGAAACTTTTAATTTAAAATTTCCAAAACCTTTACCTTTCTTTTAAAGAATGATTTCTTTTGTAGGAAGAGCCGTGGTGCCCTTTATTTGGCCAATTATGGACCGTGCAAGCCTCGCTGATGCTCAAGCTCACCAAGTTTCCTTTAGCAGATTCCACATAGAGAACCTGTTTCCCGGGGATGCTGTGGGACAAATATATGGATTTAATTCTTCAATAAAAGAATCTCAGCAGTAACTGTCTGGCTTGTCTCCGTGTATGTGATTCTTGTCTTAAGGAGAGTATCTGTGGTCGTTTTCTTGAACTCTAAATCACACAAAAGTATTTCTTCTAATCCTACTGAAATTGGGAATGAGAGAGGTTATAGACATACTCGTGAGTGAAGAATACGCTCATGGCATCCCATTTTAAAACAACTCAGAATCTTTAAGTTAATGCGTCAAAGGGTGGATCTGACCATAGTCTTATATTATCTTTTGCTACACTAATGAAAAGTGGAAAATTCAGGTTTGGAGAAAGATAGAATGAGAACGCACAATACTATAAACTAATCAGAACAGACTAGGAATAACCTATATTCTTTAGGCACCACCATTTAAAGGGAACCAAGTCACATATGGGCATCTGCAAAAGATCAAGAAAATGTCACAGTACATTTCTAAGTGGAAAAAAAGCAGAAAACAATATATACCACAAAAATGTGATTAAATATGACAATGGGAACATGTACATGTGCTCATGGGTGTGGGATTGCCTTCCCTGTAGCAGCCTTTCCAGCCCTAGAGAATTATGCATATAAGTTCCAGAGCTTGATCAAGGAACACACTGAACTGGAGTGATATAATAATTCAATATACATTTAATAGTTATTTTTGGGTTTTAAGATTTCACATCTTCATATTTTTTTTGTTATTTTCCTATTTTCTAATGCTAACATTTACTCCTTGATATAAGAACAATTGTTCTTTACAAAAAGGAAGATAGAGGCAGAAAGTTCAGGTAACAGGAAGAAACTCAGGTAACATCTCTTCCCTGTTGCACAACTGCAAAGACACTGGACTGCCAATGGCATCCATCACCTCATCTGTCGCTGCCACCTCCTCTGTTCCTCAGCTGCTTCCACATTTGGCATTCTGGCTGAAGGTATTCATGAGCATTGTGGAACATGATATGCTCTTTCTACTGTGTTCCTTCCTACTGTTTCCTCATGCTGTTGCCTCTTCGGAATGCCTGCCAACGGCTGCTCTGCCTACCTGCCAAGTCTTCCAGAGGGCTTCCTGCTTTCTTCACCAAAGCCCCCTGCTGAGGTTTGATGTTGATGGATCTAAATGTTGGGCCTCCCAAGGTCTGCTCAGCCCAGCACACAATGCCTCAGTGCCTTCCTCCCACACAGCTACTCTATCCCCTCCTGAGGCCCTAACACATGCTCCTTAAATGAGTTACCAGTCACAAAAGCAGGTCACATCTCCCTTCCTTTTCTCTTCTTTCTAAGGTGGGTCAATTGGGCCATATGCTGTAGGACAAGTGAGCATCTGGCATTGTGCATCCATACAGTTGGATCTTCCACTGTTTCTGCTTCGTTCCTGCAGGAATCTAGGCAAGGCCTCAGGAAGAGATGGGGGAGTACCTAAAAAGACATGGTGTCCCTGATTGTCTCAGGAGCAGGCAGAGGAGACAGCTCTGGACCTTGTGCCAGGGACCTCCAACCATTCTGGGCAGTGGAGTATTGAGGAGACCTTTTATGTCTCAGCACAGCAGAGCAGCAGAGAGTTTATGTGAATTTCCTGTTGACATATGCTCCGGAGCAGAAAAAAAAGGCCCAAAGGACATGGGGGGGGGGGGGGGACCAGGGCACTTTTGCAGGATTAGAAAGACGACGGGGACAGTTCAATATGGTCCTTGATCAAGCTCTGGTACCTGTATGCACTGCTCTCTAGGGTTGGAAAAGCTGCTACAGGGAAGGCAATCCCACTGGAGGATTTGCTCACTGGTGTATCCCTTTCTGTGTCTGGATAAAAAGAGCTTTGGGGCCCCCATGAGATGGCAGGTAATGGTTTTTATCCCTGTGGACTCTCCAAGAATGCTTTAAGGTAGTCTAGTATGCCCAGTCAGAAGATTTTTCAGCATAACCGAAGATGCCTGGAAGATTAGTAATCTTTACCTTAATCCAGGGATAGCCTCTGCTTCATGAGCAATACAGACATGCTTCCTCTCTTGAGAAGCTTTTGTCTAGAAGCCTCTAGTGGCCTCATCATTTTCTCTGTAGCTTCTTAAAGAAAAGCAATTGGATGAGTCTTGAGGTAAGAAGTTGACTTTTCAAGTCACTTTAAAATGCCTCTATACTAAAATAATACAATTATGTTCAAAGAGTTATCGCTGACTAACTTCTGTCTTCTGAGTAGTCACAGATCTGTCACGGAGGTCTATACTTTTATTTGTGACTAGCCAAGATTTAACTTTTCCTGAGCATTTGTTCTTGGGGAAGGGTGGAATTAGGCATTCCAAGTGCCATATGCAGAATTTACAATGGGCAGACTAGAGATGGATATTCACTTCGAAGCTGGTATTCCAATTATTTCTACTTTGGTGATTGCAGTAGAGAACAACGCCCTGGGACATCTCAGAGCATCATTTTAAGAACACACCAGGAGGAAAGATGGCCAAATCTTTCCCAGTGCTCTGCTCATTACTGTTCTTCATGCTGATCCATTCGGTGGTACCATCTGGTGAGTAATTTGGCTGGTTCTGGCAGGAATGTAAAGTGGATTTGTGGGCTCTAACATTCATTGTGATCTGAAATAGAATGCTTTGAAATTCTTATTTATTTATGTCATTTTACTGTATCTGTATATCTGTATCTATATACAGAAAGAGAGACAATGGAGTGTGGTCCACCCCCCCTAAAAAAAAGGCTTTGGGCTAAGGGGCAGGCGCCTTGGTTTTTCCACCTATTAATGCAGATTATGAAACCTAATTCATGGGGACCAGGAGCTTGGGTAATTCAATGAGGTGACCTGTGAAAGTGACTGACAATGTGCCTACATGGCAGCACATCTCAGAAATTCAGTACTGTTGAAAATGCTTTTTTTAAAAAAAAAAGAAAGAAAAAATAAAGCTTTTCCATGTATCTGAGTGGGTAATTATTTTTCAGGTCCTTTTCTAGAGAAGGGTCATGTAGAGAGTTATAAAGTCACTGAGTCTCAAGGACTGAAGAGCTTGATTTTTTACATATCTGTCATGAATTCCTGGGCATTTCATAACAAGGGTCTTTCCCCTTTCTGTGAAATAGGGGGATTGGGCTTAAAGGCCTCTTTAAAATTCTAGCATTTCTTAATTTCTTTCATACGTGGGCTGCCAGTTCTGAATCCACTCCTGTTCTTCAAAAGTAATTTGATATACTGGATTGGCAATGTTTATGAGAGTAGCAAGGCATCTACATAGTCTTCTACTGATTATCTATCAGGAGAAGAGGGGTTGTTCTGCATTTTGAGAAAAAATAAGTTAATACATGGAAAGATAAAACAATGCTTTAAATGATTGCAAGCTTCCTTGGTAATAATTTAAAATTCTTTTATTCCAGATTAAGAATTCTTAATCAGCCAAAAGATTAAGCTATGATTTACCAGATATTAGATTTTGTAACTATTTTCAGTTATGTCTTGGTTTCAGTCCGTGAAGAATGGTGGCCACCCCATGGAGATTTCAAGGTAATGTTTCACTAGGCTTGCCAGGACTGAGGTTCTAATGGAGTTTTCTTTGGAATTGCGATTTTTGAGCCTTACTGCAGCAAGGTCATCTGTTGCATTCTTAGAAGAGCAATCCTGTGAATATGACAGGTACACTGCAGGTGTAGGAGCCCAGAGTAGAGTGATTCAAACTGGGATTCAAGCTGAGATTTGGTCATATGTACATACACCAGAGAACCTTCATGGTACCTGGGAAGTGTTATGAGCACCCATGATTGCCAGGGGAAGGGCAGGGTCTTAAGAACCCTCGGACTTGGGCATAACACAGTTTTTGCTCTCAAGGAGCTCACAGTTTGGGGAGGGGATGCTCCCAAATGCTCTGAGACATGCAGAGAATGACTATGTAAGTTGTGAATAGGGAACATCAAAGTTGTGGACTGAGGAAAATGTGCAAGAATATGAGCAGAGCATCAAATTGTGTTTGCAACTTGGATGAGGAAAAATGAAGGGGCCACCCTTTTCATTTTAACCTACTCCTCTGAGGATTAAATATATTGTGAAGCTACTACGTGTTTGATAAATGATGGAAATGGGTGATGAGGGATTACTTTTTTAAAATATACATTTGCATCATTGTATTCCTTTAGGAGTTTCTGTACTTTTAAGTTTTTGTCTCATTTGTAACTTTTAAGTTGTACTTCTTTTAAAAAATCAGTTATGAGTTGACTGGTGAGAAAGGACTTTTGAGGGGAGGTTGGCCTTCAAGATACCTATAGTTTAGAGTGTAGAACCTGATAGAGGCTGTAGCTCCAGCAGAGGATCGCAGAGCCTGTCTAGGATTTATCCTCTGATCTCAAAGAGTTCAGTTCTAGCATTTTACTCTCCAGAGCAGCCTGCAGGAGGAGTTCTCCCTCACCCATCAACTTACTCATTCTTACTTAATTCTTTAAGGAATATTTACTTATCTTCCGGGTTATGCCTTAGGATACAATAGTGAGGAAAACAGACATATTGCCTTCTCTCATGAAGCTAATAAGTAGCCAGAAAAAAAAAGGAAAGGGACAACTATTATTTGTAGTAAATTCCATACATACAAGAAGTAAGAGGAGCTGAAACCGGTTTGGCTCAGTGGATAGAGCGTCGGCCTGTGGACTGAAAGGTCCCAGGTTCGATTCCGGTCAAGGGCATGTACCTAGGTTGCGGGCACATCCCCAGTGGGGAGTGTGCAGGAGGCAGCTGGTCGATGTTTCTCTCTCATCGATGTTTCTAACTCTCTATCTCTCTCCTTTCCTCTCTGTAAAAACGCAATAAAATATATTTTAAAAATAAAAAAAAAAAGAAGTAAGAGGGTATGATAGAAAATATCTATTAAGAGTAGAGATACTACTATAAACCATGTGATCTGTATTGGCCTCTCTGGGGTAGGGATATCTCAACTGAGATCTGAAGGGCAAAAAGTAACCCCCTGGGTGAAGAGTGGTGAGGAAGACTTTCCCTGCTTATACTGATTGAACACTTGGATGACTGGGTCACAGAGAGGGAGGGGTGTGCAGGGGATGCTACACTTACAGCAGTAGATTGGGACCCTCCCCGGATGAACACCTCTCACTCAAAAGAAAAAGAAGTTGCATTTATAGACAATGATACTAGCTATTCTTGATTTTTATTTGATTACTTTATATTTATTCTGATTAAACTATTTTATATCTCAAATACTTATATATTTGATATTTATATATCCAACACTGATTGGAGGTATAAAAAGAAAGAATGAAGGGTTGGGATTGTATTTTGAAAAATATCTCTGAGACAGTAGGTTGTAACCTGAGTTCTGAAGGCAGAATGAGATTGGGTTCAGGGAAACAAATATGTTTGTTGGGGGTGGTCATGACAAACCAGAAGACCCTGAGATGGAGTATTGGGGGTGGGGAGCGCTAAAAAGGCAAAGAGCCAGGTGGTGTAAAGGTAGGTGGGAAAAGTTGGGAGGGGCCAGATCACATGGAGTCTTCTATCCCATACTAAGAACAAATTTTTTAATGTGAAATGGTGTGTAATTAAAGATTTCTTAATAAACAGAATAAAATTATTCAATTGATACTTAAATTATGGAAACTAGAGGACAAGGGTAATAGAGAAAGTGGAAGGATTAATTGGGTGACAGACATAGGAGGTAGGTGATGGAGGCCTGGCCATGGTGGTGGTGTTGGATAGATAAGGAAAGGAGGGAGAGATTCTAAGATTAACTATGATTTTTCTATCTCTAAAATACTAAGCCAAAAGTCTCTTCCACATTGTATCAGAGGTACTTTATCTATTGAATGGCACTCTTAGAGCCCCTGAGACCACCATCCTCAAGCCATCACCTTAGAATCACTGCTTCAAGACATCACTCACACCAGCCTTGCAAGTAGACATGGATTCTAATGTCTGATGACACATGTTCCTTCCCTTATTTTCCATTTTCCCTAAAAAACCAGGGAGTTATTCTAAATGATCCCACACTTCACAACTTTAAGATAAGAGTTGGCTTGGGGATCTTGAGAGTAGATAAAAAATGTGGTAAATATTTTAAATCAAGGCATATGGATTTCAGCAAAGCATTTTTTCCAATTATGGAGCTTTAGTTTTCATAGCTGAGTTGGCCTAAAAAAATCTCTAAGAATACTCCCAGATCTAATAGTCTTGGAATAAAGGAGACTGAGAGAGAAGCTGAATTTCCCAAATAAATTCTAATTATTCATTCTTCCTTTTCCAACTCTAGCATAGCAGGCCTCTGTTCTCTATTGCTGTCAGGAGGTATCATGTTGCTATCAGATAGGATACATGTAGGTTCTGGTTTCATTGTTTCGTGGAGGGGAGAGCTGTGAGAGCTTTGGGGAGACTAGAACATGATCTTGGCTATGTTTAGATTTCCCTAATGAAGTCCAGAGGTGAGCTACCTGTCTCTGAGTGTGATTCTAATTGTATCATTCTTCTCAATTCTATTGCAGGTGAAATGTCCATATAAGAAAGTAGACTTGAGCTGGTTCAAAGGAACATTGAAGCCCTGCCGTGGTATATATCATCCGGTCTGTGGCACCAATTTGGTAACCTATGAAAACCCCTGCATCTTGTGTGTTGAGAGCTTGTGAGTACTGTTTGGGGGAAGGTGGGAGAACAATGAAAAAGCTTAGCCCACAGCAAGTACTAGCTACCTCTTCTACCAAGTACCATCAGCCTGGATGCCAGGAATTTGCTCCAGTCTGCACAGATAATGATCAGTCCCTGCTGAGAAGAGCTTGTGGTCATATAAAGTTCACCGGAGTACAAAGCAGACCCATTATGCTCATTGTGCTCAGTGTGCTCCTCGGGTCCTTTCTTCTCTCTGAGCCCTCACATTCAGTGGTCGGTAAACTCATTAGCCAACAGAGCAGAATATCAACAATACTTCTTCAAAATAGACCCTCCCAGTCCGAGAACCGACTTCTGCGCATGGACCACAAAGTTTCAATCGCACTGTATGTGCGCCCGCACGTGGTATTTTGTGGAAGAGCCACACTCAAGGGGCCAAAGAACTGCATGTGGCTCGCGAGCCGCAGTTTGCCAACCACAGCTATGCCAACTGATGGATTTTCACTTGAAGCTTCAAATACCTTTTAGAGTCCTGAAATTCTTTGATTTTAAGACAAATTGTGGTTTTGCCTAATGTCAGATATCTTCAACCTCTATGTTTGAATGTGTTTGAAACTCTGAGCTAGAATGAGGGGACAACAAAGCTTGGGTCCTTTAGCTGAGAGTGAGTGTTTAGTTTGTTGTGGTTTGTTGTTGCTTTTGTTTTGTTTTGGGTGTGTTTTGGGTGTGAGGGGGGCTTGGATTTCTGTGACATGATTTTCAGTTATTAGATGCAGAGGTCTCACAAAACCATGGCTTCAGGTTTGATCTCTGTAGAAGCCAGTACATTTCACAGGAAGAAAAATTATCCCTATGGCATCAGACTGGAGTCCTCTGCACAACAATTATTTTGTAGTTTTGTGCGTAGAGCGAGGACAGGAGTGTGAAACCCCCAGGTCATCCACTATTAAGTAATTTAGCCCAAGTGTGAGAGTATTGACAGAGAAGATGAGGGTTAACATGCAGGACTGATTCAATGAAAAAGCTTATGATTCAATAACCCATTTTCAAAGAGACTGTTGCATAGGTCATAGGATTGTCAGTGACATTTTAGGATTGTAAAAGGATAACTGGGCAGGAAGCCAATAACCTAGTTTTTGTTTGTAGTCCATTCTCCCTTTTGCTCTGGCTCTAAGTATTCTCAAATATAAAATAAGAGTGTTTGATAAGATAATTTTAAAGTATATTCGTAGCTCTGACATTCTACTATTTAATGAAATATTTCTTCTTACTCTTTCTTTAGGAAATCTTCTGGGCAAATTAAGTTTCTACGTGATGGAGCATGCTAGTTAAGCAGGCTTGGATGTGAAAGAATATATCTTCTTTTTCTCCCTCATGGCAGTCCTCTTCTTACAACTCACCTGTCCTTTTTTCCTCCTTGCATATGTTCTTGGTGACAGAGAGCTGCCCCTATTGAGCTTGTATCAGATAGTGAAAGCTTCCTTCTTTAGTCCTCTTCCCTCTTTGCCTTCCACATTCTTCCTAATAAACGTTTCTGAAAGTACGATTTCACTTGGGTTTTTTATGTATGTGTCTCAAATCTCAAAAGTAGACCAAATTAAACATTTGAGCCAAGGATCCAAGACAAACTTTGGGATTACTCGGCTCTATAATACAGTGAACAGTGGAGTAATCTATGTAAAGCAAGCATGTCAAACTCAAAGGCTAACACGGGCCAAATAAACAAGGTTTAAGTTTATATGGGCTGCAAAAAAAACAAAAGCTTCAATTTTCATAGAAATGTAGGTTTATTTCAATAGAGTCATGCTGGATACAAAGGGCGGAAAGAAATGAGTAATTGTTAACATAAAATAATAGAACATTTTAATAAAAGTTAAAATTTTTATTAGGATATTGTAAAAATTAAGTTACGGAATTTTTATTAAAACATTTCTTACATACCGTTATATTGGCTGGGCTGCAAAAATATTGGTTGTGGGCCACATGTGGCCTGCGGGTCATGAGTTTGACATGCTTGATTTAAAGGTTCCAGGTGTCTTCTGAGAAACATGACAGAAATGTCTCCTATATTCCTTTTGGCATTAAAAAAATAAACCACAATTAATAGGAGGTATGGAGCCCTGTGCACTTTCTGGTCATACCTTTTGCCCACTTTCTGTAACCTCCTCATTAAACAACCTCACTTATAGACTCATCCTTGAGACAGAGCCATTTGCCCATGTCTGGCTTAGATCAAGAGAGCCCAACACTTTCATTGGCATCATGTTGCTCCATAGAAAGAGGCCTGTAGATGGTATCCATGAATGTTCCATTGGTCATTGGTCTTTTTCTTAAATCCTTTTGACAGATTTTTAACCTCTAAAACATAGGGACATGTTCTTCTTTAGGTTATACATGTGCACATGTGTGAATTTTTCTGTTATGGAGAGATGAAAAATATATACTAACTAGAGGCCTGATGCATGAAATTCATGCAAGGATAGGCCCCACAGCCCTGGCTGCCTTGCAGCCCTGAGGCCCCACCCCTTCACCCACTAGTCATTTTGGAAGGTCATTTTGGAAGGTCACTCCACTGTCTGGTATAATTAGCATATTAGCTCTTTATTAAATAGGAAACTAGTATGCTCTCTTCCCTTCAGCAGCTTGCTCCCTGCTGGCTTGGGAAAGAGCTTCTTCTGCCTCTGAATATCCTGTAAGACTATTGTCAGAATGTTTATATGTTCTGTTAGCTCTTTGACCTTTACTAGCATGCTGATAACATGGTAGACACATGTTTCCAGTAAAAATTAAACAGTCACCTTTAATCTATCATCTTTAAATTTGAAAAGCAAACATCTCTGGGGAAAATTAAATATTCCCTCCATCTATGAGGTGTCCTTGCTCTGAGTCCGGGGCCAACCAGGAATACCAACAACTCCAGGAGAGACTGTTGTCCAACATGATTGCTTGAACTTCTGGGTCACAAATCCTTTCTTCTGCAATAATTAATCTGTCATTAATGTCATCCAGGAGATTTTTTTTCATTTCAAACATTTTAATATCATCTCTGCAAGTTTGATTTCTATCTTCCATACTTCTAACTTTAAAAAAAGGTTATTATAATTGGAATATAGTTATAATAATTATTTTTACCTGCTACTTCTAATATCTGTCAGTTCTGGGTTGGTTTTGGGTTGTTTGATTTTCTTCTCATTATAGATTACTAGTAGCCCTGTGCACAAATTCATACACCAGTAGCTCGCTGCTGCCCTCCAGTAGCTCTCTGCCTGCTGCCCTGCCCTCCTATAACTCCCCTCCATAGTTTGCTGCCCTGCCCCCTCCTGTAGCTCTCTGCCGCCCATTTGTAGCCAGTAGCTTGCTGTGGCCCTCCTGTAGCTCTCCGCCACCCACTTGTAGCTCACTACCCTACCCTCCTGCTGATCCGTAATCTGGTCATTACTCAGTCAGTCAATACGCTTCACAACGTAATGACCATTTGCATTTTACATCTTTATTATATAGGATATCTTATGGTACCAGAAAGTATGAATTTTATCTTGTTTGGTTCTTAATATTTTTATATTTCTAGAAATTAAATTCTTGAGTTTTGTTCTGAGACACAGCCAATTACATGGAAATGATTGAGTCCTCTTTGCTATTAAGAGTTGTTAGGTCAGCCCTGGCCAGTGTTCTCAGTGGTTAGAGCATTGGCCCCCACACAAAAGAGTCGTGGGCTCAATACCTGGTCAAGGGCATGTTTATGGGTTGCAGGTTCCATTCTGGCCCAGCTGGGGTGCTTGTGGGAAGCAACCAGTCCATGTCTTTCTCACATCTATGTCTCTCTCTCTCTCTCTTTTTCCCTCCCTACCTTCCTCCCCTGCTTCCACTCTAAAAATCAATGGAAAAAATAAATGTCCTCAGGTGAGGATTAACAATAACAAAAGAAGAGTTGTTAAGTCAGACCAGTGAATTAGCATTCACTAAGTGGGCTAATTATTCCTCACTACTGAGGCAACGCCCTTGGAGTACCTTACTCAATTCTCTTCTGTGATTTTTTTTTTTTTTTTTTTGCTTTGGGTAATTTCCTCATGTACAAGCACCAATCAGTAAATTGCTGAGCTCTCTGTCCAGCTCTCCAGGGCTGTGGTCCTGCAAATTATAGCCACTTTGATTTCTCTTCTCTCAGCGCTGTGTCTGCAATTCAGGGAATCCACTTGCTCCATCTGAGTTCCCCTTTCCTATTTCTAAAATCTCTTGCAATGCAGAAACCAAGGGCAATAATAGATCTCACCACATTATTTCCCATTTCTCAGGAATCCTTGTCTTCCATTGCTGATGTCTAGATTATGCTTTCCTATATATTTATCTGATTTTTTTGTTGTCTTTTCCAGTTTGAGGTATACCTGGTTTTTCATACTCCACATTATTTGAAAGTAAAAGTCAGCTTTATTTTTATCATATCATTGTACAGGTTGGCCTTCTGTAACCCCAGGTATCCCCAGTAGTGGTTGAAACACTGCTCATGATTCCACCAACTACAGATCAAAAATATTTGAGAAGATGCTACATTATTGCTGATGTGTGTAATATGTAGTTAGGCCTTTGATGGTTGCCTCCGTACTGAACAAGCACAGTCTTTTTTTTCTTACGATTTTCTAAACAACACAGTAAAACATCTATTTACATAACATTTACGTTGTGTTAGGTGTTATAAGTAATCCAGATATGATTTAAAATGCAGAGGTTGATGCAAGTAGATGCTATGCAAATACTGCCATTTCTTATAAGGGACTTGAGTGTCTGTGGATTTTGGTGTCAGCAGGGAGTCCTGGAACCAATTGCCCGCGGAAACCTTGGGACAATGGTAGTCATGTCGTCCTCTAATACAGCGGTTCTCAACCTGTGGGTCGTGACCCCTTTGGGGGTCAAACGACCCTTTCACAGGGGTCGCCTAAGACCATCGGAAAACACATATATAATTACATATTGTTTTTGTGATTAATCACTGTGCTTTAATTATGTTCAATTTGTAACAATGAGCTTGGGGGTCACCACAACATGAGGAACTGTATTAAAGG